TAGATAGATAGATAGATAGATAGATAGATAGATAGATGATGATAGATGATGGATTGATAGATTTATAGATAGATAGATGATGATAGATAGATCAATGATAGATTATGATAGATAGATGATACATAAATACATAGATAGATGATAGATAGATAGATGATAGATAGATGATAGATGATAGCTAGATAGATAGATGATAGACAGATAGATAGATAGATAGATGATACATAGATACATAGATAGATGAAGATAGATGATAGATAGCTAGATAGATAGATAGATAGATAGATGATAGATAGATGATAGGTAGATAGATAAATGATAGATAGATGAAGATAGATAGATAGATGATAGACAGATAGATGAAGATAGATAGATAGATGATAGACAGATAGATGATAGATAGATAGATAGATAGATAGATGATAGATAGATGACAGATAGATGATGATGATAGATAGATAGATAGATAGATGATAGATAGATGGATAGATAATGATAGATGAAGATAGATAGATAGACAGATAGATGATAGATAGATAGGAAGATTGATGATAGATAATTGATAGATGAGGAGATAGATGATTGAAAAAGTGGGACAGATAACTGGTGGTGAGATACACCCATACATTTATTTATATCTAACATATTAAATCCCTTTCTCTCCCCCTTTCCTTGTCACATATCCCTATGTCATCTTATCTATCAAGTATCACATCTATAAATAATTTGTGTATCCACATCTGTTCATCAATCATCTATCTGCTCATCCATCTATCAATTATCTATCATCAATCTCCATCTCTCTCATTCTCTCTCCTCATTCCTCTTATGCTCCCTCTCTCCCTTTCTCCTCTCCCTCTGCATACTCCTCTGTATCAAATTCTTCCCATCTCAAATTGTCCCCTCCAACAGCTTATTACTCATTCAAACTCAGAGTGAACCCACAGCTAGGCCCATTTCCCTAATGCCAGCACAGACTCCTAACAATGGCTTTGGCCAGGTGCCTCTGCATCTTTGAGGCAAAAAATGCTTGGAAACACCTCCCAGCTCAGAAGAGATGTGAACTTAGAACTCCCCTCAGGAAGGAACTGATGGCCAACTTAGGAGCTGAACTCTTATGTATTGCGGTAGTCTCAGGAAAGAGGGGAGAGGAAAGGACAAAATGGCAGAGGACTCCATATGGAAAGGTCAGGGGAAGAACCAGCAGTGGACACAGAGGGGTCACAGAGAGATCAGGGGAGAACAGTTGGGGTGTTGTCCTGGAACCATGAAAAGAGATTCCTGGAAGGATGGGGAAGAGAGTGGTACAGAGAGCTGTGGAAATGGATGTGATAAAGCCAGGAGCCAAGGACCTGAAAATCACCAGGGTGACAGGAATGAAGAGGGACCAGTGAATGAAGATGACTCCTTGTCAATGAGAAGATGGCAGAATGTGAAGACTAGAGATTTGTACAGAAGAAGGTGTGTTAAGGGTAGATAGATGGAAATCTATAGATATATGCCACCTGACTGTCCAGCATCACTGTGGACAAGACATCAGAAAACATGATTGAGTTCATCCAAGGCCAAGGTCTTCCAAATGTCTATCAAGGAAAATCCAACTAGCAAGAGCTTCAGACCATGCCCCAGAGTCTGGTCAACCTACTATGTGTCACATCAGTAAGAAAAACTAGTTCTCCCTCTCCCAGCATCCATCAGTTGCCAATAGATATTCAGCTAGGGCTTTCTGCCAATCTCCCCTATCCATGCTAGGCCATTGTCTGGTTTGGGTTTGCACAAGTGCATGTTGTCATAAATGTCTATGGACCCATAACCAAGAGCATATAGAAGGCATGGAATGGAATCAGAAAGCTTTTAAAAAACAAAAGTCTGGGCTGGAAAGATGGCTTAGAGGTTAAGAACACTGGTTGTTCTTGCAGAAGACCTGGGTTCAAATCCCAGCACCCACATGGCTTCTGACATCCGTGGCGTTGCAAGACACGGGTGCACTCACATACATGCAGGCAATATACTCATACACATTAAATAAAAATAATAAATAAAATATTTTAAATAAAAAATAATTTTAAAATAAATAATTTTTTTCCAGAAAAGAACAGCTAATAGCAGAGGACATGAAATTACTGAGGGATAGTAGGGAGGGAGTGGTGAGGAGTAGGGAGAGAGAGGGTCTGAATATGATCAAAATACATTGTTTGAAATTCTGAAATCAATAAAAAAAATGTTAAAAGAACTTCAGACCATGAATCCTGATGGGAATCTAAGTTAGATGTGCTCAAGAAAGAGGATGAAATGGTTCATGCTTACTTCCAACTTGAAAGATCTAACATCAACTAAAAGACACCACTGGATGGATCTGTGAGGCTATTTCCAGGAAGGATTAACTAAGAGAAGATTCTCCTCCCACCCCAGGAGGGCAGCGATTTCTGACAGGTGGCCTAGACATAAGGAGGTCCTAAGGAAAAAATAGTTCGCTTGCCTGACTTCCTTCTCTTCTTTCTGGTGAGTGTATCTATCCTTCACTGACATCAGACTCCAGATTATTTGAATTTCCAATGTGGACTGAAGACCAACAATTTTCCATGAATCTTTAAAGTCTTCAGCACCAGATTGGGACTGATGAGGCATCCAGCTTCATGAACTGAATAGCTACTGAGTTCTCAGTCTCTCTGGCGTGCAGACAGGCATTGTTGGATTACCCAGCTCCTGTCAGTTGTAATATTCTAGTAAATCCCCTCTTATAATATAAATGCATTTAGCCAATTCTGTTCCTCTGGAGAACCTTACCTAATATAGACTGTGGTGTCAGGAGTAGTTCTAAAGAAATAGAATTGTAAGGATGGGTTTCTCTAATGGGTTGCTTGTATCTGGAGCTAACTGTCCAATTTGACTAAACCAAAAGAAATGTCCCCCATAGGCTCATGTATTTGAATACTTGGTCCCCAGGTGCTGAGAGGTTATGGAACCTTTAGGAAGTAGAGTGAGCTTTGAGGGTCAGCCTCACCCGACTTTTTCCTCTCTCTCTCTGTCTCTGTCTCTCTCTCTGACTGTCTCTCTCCTTTCTATGTTGAGTATGAAATATGATCTCTCTGCTTCCTGTTCCTGCTGCCATGCCTTCCACACCATTATGGATTATCCATCTAGAACCCTTTTGTTCCTTAAGTTGTTTTTGGTCATGATAAATCACAGCAACAGAAAAATAACTAAGACAGTTGCCAAAGACTTTTGAGATACTCCTGATTCACCCCTTATGATAAAGACTCTATATAAAAATTTTTAGGCCAGGCATGGTGGCGCACGCCTTTAATCCCAGCACTCAAGAGGTGGAGGCAGGCGGATCTCTGTGAATTCAAGGCCAGCCTGCTCTACATAGTGAGTTTCAGGATAGCTGGGGCTACAAGGAGACCCTGTCTCAAAAAAAGACAAAAAAAAAAAAAGCTTTTTACATTTCTGGAAAAGTAAGGACCATAATGATGCTGGCTGGTTGCTTCTAGCATCTCTGGATAAAGTAACAAAAAATAAGCTCAGACATGATGCTTCCCAGCTCCAGATGTGCATAAACAATCTAACGGCTCCTAAGTATGTGGTAAGAGAATCTTCTCTCCAGAAGTCATGGGGCTAAAGATGCCAAGAACTCAACACAAACCTTTGCCAAGACTGAATGACTTACAATGCAAGTTCAAGTCCCGGTCTCGAAGGGTCTCAGTGGTTAAACTGAGAGCACTGGTTGGTAGAGGGGACCCTGCAACTTGAGGTGAAGATGTGTGGAGAGCCCTCAAGAAGCTGAAAGCATGGAATTCTGATTCTAATGGGTTTATTTTGCCTGAGGAAGAAGTCTTCCCACAGTTAGTGGCAGATGAATCTTCACTCCTGCCCTCTGCAATATTGCCTTCTCCACCCTTATCTGAAGGAACTTACCTGCATTGTCTATGGAACTGATAATTACCTTCATTGAGAGATGCCAAGCAATACACCACAGATGCCACTTGGGGCCCATCCTCACCAGGCATCTTTATTTCTAGAACTATAACAAGACTCAAGTTTCAGCAG